TGAATCTTTCCCAGGCGTCATAGAGGTCTTCTGTGTCCTCCTGCTGAAATTTTTGGATCTTGTCCCTTAAGAGATTTGAACGATCTCTGGTGTAAAAGTGACTTAGGAAAGCCTCTCTACACTTTTTCACGTTCTTATGGAGGCAGGTGGCAAAGTTTTAAGCCATTTAGTAGCTCTACCAGTTAGAGAGAATGGAAAAAGGACGCACATATGATAATCAGTATTTCTCATTATGGTTGAACACATGCAGTTCTTCAAAGTTTTCAATGTGATCTATTGGGTGTTCTGGAGGAAAACCATTGTACTTTTTGATATAGCTAATGTATTGTACCTTAGCTTCAGAGTCGCCATCCTTAGGCAAAGGTGGCCGAATCGCTCGCCTATCTGCAAAAAGTTTGTGTGATTCATCATATTCTCTAATCATCTGGTCTCCCTTCCTGGCATGTTTAGGTTCTTCAATCGATTCATTGCTATCATCGATTGGGTCATTAAGCTCATCATCGGATGGATCACCATCTAGAAAAAAGTCCTCTTCAGCGAGAGGATCAAGGATATGCTCCTGACCCCTCATCGAAAAAAATACCTGAAATGGCAAAGAAAAATAAAAATTAGAAAGAGTTCTACAGAATTAAGCAGAGATTCGCAACGAAAGGAACAAAAATCCCCGGCAACGGCGCCAAAAACTTGATGCTAAGAGAATCAAGGGTTACTTCTAGCTTCACGTTTTAAATTTATAACCTTAAATATCTGCAAGTGCACAAATGTACGCTGTAGTACTTAGGGGTCGAACCACATATATTTTGAGCTTTCAGTACGAATCAATCAAAACTTAAGACTAGTAGAATAAGCAAAATGGGGATTTTTGGTTTTGGTGTCATTAAATCTAAAAGCAATCGAAATAAACAAGTTGTAAAACAATAGGGAACAAACGCTGGGTTTAAAGGGTTTTCGCAGGGGTTCATGAACTGATCAAAAGGCAAACAAATCCATAAAGGTAATCATCTAGAGAGGATCCCGAACTCGTATAGACACAAGTATGATTAGTCAACTCTTGCCACCCTAATCAACAAATCACTCAACACAGCAATTAACTCTCGCTCTCATGCTGGGAATAAGATCATGCATTAAAAACAGAATTCATCCACGCTCGCGATTCTCTATAAGTAGCTTTCGCCTCCTATAGTGATTTCGCTCGATCACTTCTAGGTCTGGTAATGCGATATAACACTCTCGTGGCTCCAATTACTGAGATCAATTTCTAAGTGGCTAGCAACAGAAACAGCATAGTGAACAAGAATAAACGAAGGACTCTTAGAAGATTAAAACCCTAAATCGAATGAAATATATAATCAAGACATGAAATTCCCTTTGAAAAATCCCTTAAAAACCCAACTGGGAAATTACTCAGACATAGTTGAGTTCAACATCACAAAAGTATTTAGAATTTCAGAGAAATGAAATAGACAAAGGTTAGAAACGAAGAACAGATTGAAGCAGAAGGGCCGATGGTGCCCCTCTTGGTGGCTCCTCTTCTAGGCGTGACTCTCTTCTAGGGTTCCTGGTGAAAAATGTAGCACACCCTTCTAAATGACTTAAGAGGGGTTTATATAATATCTTGGGTCATCTAGAACACCTAGGACTTGCAGGAAGAGTGATAGGAGTGACTTGGGCTTTAAAGTGGGCTTCTGAGGCTCGGAATTTAGCTCCTCGCGGTCTAAAATTTCGCACCCCTGGTAAATGATGTTTTGGCCGCGTGTGAGCTTCTGACTGTGTTGATACGCCTTCAGTGAATCGACCATATCTGGAGATCTAACCGTTGGATTGCTTTGATTCTACTTGCATTGGAAAGCTGGTTGTCCCTATACGTTGTGTCAAAATGTGAGGATGATCAGACGGTGGGAAGGCCTCTATTGTTATCAAAATTCCGACAGTCTGAATTTATCCAAAGTTATGCTTTTTGCGGCCAAGTGCATTCCTTTTGTCAAAATATCCTGAAAACTCTTTTGAGATTCTAAAACATGAAAATCACTTAAAAACCTTTAAAACTGAGTGAAAACACCTGCATAAGATATTAATAGTGATCCACAAAAGTGGTAAAAATCAGGTGTTATCAGTTCTTTTAGCCGTATTGCTTTTGTCCGAATTCCGGCTGAGATACTGGTGCACGTTCAAACGGATATAACTTTCTGACCACTGATTCGGATGGGCTGATTCAAGCTTCACTGGAAAGGTAGCTCGACCCTCTAAAATCTTGTTGATGAATCGGAGGCCAATTCGAAGTAGAAGTCCTTTGTCCCGATCGATCTTTGATGCTTGTTGGCAGCTAAAGAAATTGGCCAAGAAACATTTACCGCGGTAGGCATTTTGTCTGAGAAACATGACCTGCAGTAAGGTCTTTAACCGAGAAAAGCTGTCTGCGGTAAGCTTTTTGGTCGATAACTTCTTTTTGACTGGTTTCTCTTTCTCTTTCATCTTTTTCAACACTTTCTTCAATTGTCTCATCTCCTTTGCTCCCAAATACATCCAAAGTACCTGATAATCACTCCAAATATGCAAGACTCTCTTGGACCTAATGCAATTTCCTATATAAGCTAAAAACAAAGAGAAAACACTAAAAAAAACTATCTAATATGCATACATGGGACCAGAGGCGGAAGTAGAGGGAGACTGACGGGGTCACGTGCCCCCTACTCTTTTTTAATTTTTAAATATTTATATGTATTTAATCTAACTATTTTTAAATTTAATGATAAGAAAAAAAATATTTGCCCCAAACTATTTTTTTCCCCCTATTTATAAACTTATCCCCCCAACTAAATTTTTTTCTAGATCCGCCATGGGACAGTAAACAATGACTAAAATGCATGCCAAACAAGTAAAATTATGAATATATCAGTTTTCCATGACAAGAGCATTCTCAAGGATGGAGACATGGTTTTTCTTTTCAACTCAGAGAAAGGGATAGAAGTAGACAAGGCCAAAAATTGAAATGATGGTGAGCTTTGAGGCACCAAGCTGTGAGGAGCTTCTTGGGCCATGCAGGCATCTGTAGGAGGTTTATATAGGACTTCTCCAAGATTGCTAGACCTCAGATTGATCCAACAAACTTGATGATGCACTATATATGGGCTTATATGATTATATTCAAGACACCAATATAGACAACACCATTCAACTTCGTATATGGTAAAGCTTGCCATCTTACAGTTAAACTCTTGAACTTTGACATAAAAACTGCACAAGAGAAGACATTGCCATTCAGAATCAGAGAAGTTAGATCCTATGGAGCAGTGGTGTTGGAAAACAAGAATGGAGAAAAGTTTGTGGTGAATGGACAAGGCTCAGACCTTACCTAGGCAATGAATCCAAAGAGGAGGTGGTCTCACTTTCTCTTTGTGATCCTCTTCTTGTCTAAGGTTGTATGAAAAGTCAAACTTAGAGACTCTAAACAAAATGCTCTTGAGACACATTCTCATGTTATCCCTTGTATATATTCTCTCTTTCTTTTCTTTTTATGTGTTTTAGGATGTTTTCATGTTTTTGATTAGTGTTCTCAGGTTCTTAATGATCTAGAGGTCAGGTTAATAGAGTTAACAATGTAGTATGTACATCACCTAGTAAGAAACTAAGACTACATTTAACTCTTTTTTTTCTGTCTTCTTGGCCTCACGATCGTTTGCGTGAGGTGATATTATGCATCTACTTATCCTTATTTGAGGAGTTTAATGCTCTTTATGGCTTGAGCTTTTGCTCTCCTTTGTTTTTTCCCTTGTATCAAACTATCGATTGTTTTTCTCACAATAATAAAGTTTTCAGACGGCAAAAAAAGAGACTATATTTAATTTAGTTCGGGGTTAAGTGACTAAAGATTTTTTTTAAAAAAAAAAAACTTGTGATAAACTGAGCGTCGTCATATCCTGTCTACAAAATTCCAAACCCAAAAACATAGCGAAATAACTCTGATAAATATTTTAAAACACTTCCCTAGTAGAAAAAGGATATTACAACATATCTTATTATATAAACACGTTTCTATGTGATCTCTGTCTTAGAGAAACAAGCTCTAACCTTACTTCAAGTATGTTCATTCGATTCGGAAATATCAGCCTTTTCCTCTTTGTCTTCCTCGTCTTGCTGGGTGCTTCACAGGCTCGCTTTGGCATGTATGAGCCCCTTTTCATTGATAAAACAGTGAAAATATCGAGCCAGTTCCTCAAATATTTCCGGTGAATGTCGAAAATAATGTCCTAATCAATGAGCAGGCCAAATCGACATACATTGGTGACTTACATGCTAAGCTTCTAGACAAATACGGCACCAAATTTATATGGAGGATTGATGTTTGTTTGTGTCTTTGTTTCTCTTTATTGTTTACCGATTTAGCTTTTAGGCTTTTCTTTTGCATTGCAAGCAGATGTTCTGCTAAATTTTCAAAAGTCTTGATCGCTACTTCGACACTTTTGAAGACAAAATCACTCAAATCGAATCTGAGTCGTCCCTTCTCCCACGATGAATCGTAAGCTTCTCTCATGAGGATGCATTGAAGACAAAATCATCGATCTCAAGATCATCCTTTTTCATTATTGTTTGCTTTTTTCACCAGATACAAGTCATCATCTTAATTAATTACTGTTCTAGTGGATTTGTACAATATTCGATCTGCGATCACCAATATTCTTTCTTACAACAGCCAATAAGAATATATTCAACCAAAATATAAAATAAAAACACATGCATGTATTTTTTATTTTAGTACAGAACAAAAAAAGTTGAAAAATTGGAAAACCTTTTACCAGACGCGCCTAAATCAATGATTGCAAAGTACATCACCGAACCTCTTATTTAATTATTAGGTTTTGCCCTAATTGAAACAGAGACACACACACAAAGCATAAAAGGAAAAACTCGACTCCCAAGTCAACAGAGAGTCTCTCGCTTCCTTCTTTCTCCTTCCTATCGTTTTAGTATCGCAGAAATTCTCAGAGTAAGAGGTGCGAAAGATGGAGAGATCTATGTCTTTTGATAAAAATCGATTCTCAAGCCCAGTCGTTGTCTCTTGCAACGGCCTCGAGATCACCAACAAGAAATTGTACAACAAAATAATTCTCCATCTACGAAAGAAGATGGCTAAGAAAAATCCAAGATTTACTCGACAGCCTTTGAAAAACATGAAGAAGGAGAAGAAGAAGAAGAAAAGGAAGAGTATCAAAGAGATAATCAAAGAACCTTCAACCGCCGTTCTCAAATCTTCCGCCGCCACCGCCTTAACCAACGACAGAGGAGTAAGAAATTTGTCGTCGTGGGTCAAAACTCAATTACTTGGAAGAGGCACTTACGGTTCTGTTTATCTAGCTACAAGTGTAAACGACAAAGACAAAACAGAGAGAGCGATCAAAAGTGCAGAGCTTTTACGAGCTTCTAGCCTCATGGACGAAGGAAGGATCTTAACCCGTTTGCAATCTCCGTTCATCGTCCGTTGCTTCGGCGACGAGATCGCACGTGAGGAGAATGATCTTCATGAACAATACAATCTGATACTCGAGTATTGCTCAGGCCAAACTATCGCGGACTTGATCGAGGATAATCACGGAGAGTTACTTGAGTCAGACGTCAAGCTTTTCGCTAGAGATATCTTGTCTGGACTCAGATACATCCACGATCAAAACATCATCCATTGCGACATTAAACCGGAGAATCTCTTTCTCTGCCCTACCGATCACCGGTTAAGAGCTAATGGGTATTTGACCAAGATTGGAGATTTCGGTTTAGCTATGGAGAAAGGGTCGATAGAGTACGGTGACGGAACCGGTCATAGGAGAGGCACTGCGAGGTATGTGGCTCCAGAGACTATGAGCCATGGGATTGTGGACTTTGGAACGGATGTGTGGGCTTTTGGGTGTACGGTTTTGGAGATGTTAACCGGAGAATTGATTTGGGGAGAACATGGTGATCTTGGTTTCGATGATTGGGTCGATCTCATCGGTCACAGTGATTGCCTACCTCGTATACCGGGTTGGTTGTCTAAAGAAGCAATAGATTTTTTGAGCAGATGCTTGGAGAGAGACGTACACAAGAGGTGGTCTAGCCATTCACTCACGAATCATCCCTTTGTTAGGCTGTGAAAGAAGTTGAAGAGTATAGTAACTAATGATCGATCTGTTTATCTTTGTTCTTTCAACTGTTTGGAACGGTTTTGTGTTCTTCCAGTACATGATATTTTGTAGGAGTGCTAAAGTCTTTTAATTGCTATTTGTATCAAACACTTTGAGTAGATTAGAGTTTCTGTTTCAGTAACAATACTGTAATGTTAATGTGTGTGATGGGAATTTGAATAATTCAAAACCCTTAAACAGGATATCTTTTATAAATTTTACTTGGATCAGTAATCAATCTAAACAACCAATAAATATTATCCAAATCTTCTGTAATTGGATCAATAATCAATCTAAACAACCAATGAATATTATCCAAATCTTAATACAACTTTCGTTTAGATCAACCCAGCAAAATCAACAACAAAGTCCTCAAGCTTTGGTTTATAATACCAACAAAACCGATTTTAGAGCCATTGTTCAACAGTTAACCGGACTCGGTTCAACTTCTTCAGTCAATCCTCCAGCGTCACCAAACCCAAACACACCGAATCTCCCACATTTAAAATTGGTTAAAGTTTGACCAGCTCCTTTTACTCTAACTTAACCGCCCTCCACCTCCACTTCCACCTCCTGTTCAATCCGATATAATGGCCTCTAATCGGTTCCTCCTGTTAACCAATTTTGGTTAACCCGGCCGAATCTTCATTCTCGGCATATATGCTTTACCTAATCGAATCAATCTTTGTTGGAAACTGACCTCAGGTACAAAACCAAAACCCGGTCCAACCATCAACCAGCTGATTTTCTTCGCAACAAACCAATCTTAGTCCACTGATTTTTCCAGTCTCCAGCTCAACAATAAAAAAAAAACAATACAACAGAGAAAACTTATAATTTTTTGTTGAAAGAAATGGAAAAACCTTATTTGGTGAGCCTACTTCTCCAGTTTCCAGTATTCTTCTTAAATAAGATGGGATGGTGAGATTCTAGGGAAAGCTTATGTTGTTTGAGATAAAGAACCCGATTTTCCTTTGCTGTGTTAAAATAAAAATACGTTTTTCTTCTATTTTCCTTCCAGCGAGGGCTTTGCGATAAAGATGCTCACCAGCAGAAGTTTTTCCTAGAATCTCACATCCCATCTTTAGAGAAGTATGAGCTTCTGAACTATAACTCTTCATCATCATCTTTTTCATTTTTGGATAGAGTTAGGAGAATCAGGAATTCACTACTAAAAACAAAATATAAAAATTATCATTTTTATCTAAAAATTTTCATAGATCTAATCCATAGTTAACAAAAACAAGAACAAATTCTACAAATCTTTTTTAAGTTATAATAAACAAATTAAATGATACATACCTTTTAAAAGGAATCAAGTTCTTTGATTTGATGCATCTGATATCCTACACAAATTATCAAGAATTTAATCGAAGCTTTCATTGTTTTTGATCTAAGAAATGCGGCCGCAATGATAAAGGTTTAGAGAGTTTCTGCATCTTATATATAGAAAAAAATTAACCTAACATTTTTAAAGAAAGCAAACGACACCGTTTAGAAAAGTAAAATCCATTAGAATAAGTCAACGCATAAGTCTTAACATATATAACAAATATAAAGGAGAAATTTTGATTCATGAATATAAAGATTAGATGTTGCAATCCTATTTACTGATAAAAATTGAAGCTAAATGCCTCTTAGAATGTCCACATAGAATTAAAAAGGGCAATTCTATTCGTCTACATCAATATTTATAATTAAGAAAATTTCTAGAAATTAATATTATTGTACATAAAATTAAAAAGGAAAATTCTATTGGTCCACATCAACATTCAAAATTAAACCAAATTTCTAAAAATTAACATTATTATTAATAAAAAATATATAAAAGAATAAGGATACTATGTATGAAATTTCCATTAACAACAAAAAACTAAAATAATATTAAATTAAAAATATTTTTTAAAATACAAATTTACTTAGATATAAAATAATATGCAATCCATCAAGGAAGTAAAGTAAATTTTAAAAACTATTTTTCAAATTCATATAAAATTGTTATAAAAAAATGAAATTTGAAGATGAAGAAAAATCTTATTTTCTTTTATTAGAGAAGAAACATAAATTAACTTTTTTGTGTCAGTACTGTTTTTATTAAATAGTAATTTAGTATTTTGTAATTTTTTTTAGTTATCTTTTTAGTATACTAACCTCCATTGTTTAAATTGGTTGTGTGTCTTCCCGTATATGAGTTTTGTAGACCTGTTAACGCCTTTTGATTGCCATTTGTATCACTTTGGGTTTTATTTGATCATTAATTTAAATTTGTGAATTCATTTGTGAACATAATTGCCAAAAAAGAGACTAATTAAAGTCTCAGTTTCAGTAACAATGTAATATTAATCTGTTTGTGATTTGTATAACTCAAGATACTTAAATAGAGCATTTATATAAATTTTACTTGGATCAGCAATTCAGGAGGCTCTGTATCTTTCCCCAAGAAAAAAATCTAAAATGAATATGAACCAAATCTTAATACAACTTGGGATTATTCTAAAACCAAAAACAGTGTGCCTTTCTTATATAATAAAGGAAGAAACATGAACTTTTTAGATGCTTCCAATCTAAAAAAAGACGGTTTGCAATTAATCTTTTTCTTGTTGAATATTATATAATATTATATAGGTGAGTATAGATATTTGTGTATATGTATATGTTTATATATATATATGTATATAAACGTATGGAAGAGAGAGAGAGTGGAGAACCCAAGAGAAGAAGAGAATGATCTCTCTTATTATTGCTTCGCTTCTCTTTACACACATATTTATAGCAAGAGGAAATGTATAAAATAATAGACAAAGTCGGTGTTGTAAATCGATAAAAACATTTGATGGATAAGCATCGATTTTAACACTCCTCTTTGATTATCCATCAGATAATTTCTTCTTTTTGCAAATCTTTTAGATAAGTAGCCTCTCTTTCGGCTGGATAAATATTTTCTTCAGATAAATGATTCTTGACTGTCATATCATTGGAATTGTATATTCCTTTTTAGATATATATCTTCTTGCGTGTTCTTGATATTTCAGTTAAAAACCTCGTTATGGAAAAATCCAATGGAATAAAAATCATAGCAAGGAAAAACATGCATCTACGTGCATTATTATACTTCTTTTGAAAATATTCTTCTTCAAATGTTTCTTTTGCGTTTTCATTTTGCTGCCTCATTAAAAACCTCATCATGGAAAAAAACTCATTGGGATAAAAAACTATAATAAGGGAAAAAGAGTGCAGCCACGAATATTATCATAATTTTCTCCCTGGAAACATCATCTTCAGAAGATGCATTCCAATTATATACACCATCTTTTTGGGGAATTTTTATAAGTAGAGTCTTAGTGAACAAACTCGTATAATCCTCAAATCTTTGGACTTCTGGTCCATAGTTCGAGTTAGTCATGCTCTTTTCATGAAATATATTATCTTAACTTTCCAAGATTTCTCATTTCAACCCCTTCTTTTGATCAATTTGACCAAATAAAATTTTAGATGCTTCAGGCATCTTTGATCCTTCTAGGATTTTTATCAATATATTACTGAATGTGATTACATCCATGACCGAATAACATCAATTTTCGGTCTTTGAGAAAAACTTTATGCCACAAACCGAATTTTATATCTTGTGACTTTTTTTTCTCATTATTTTCAAACAAAGACCCATTTGGTCTTGAATGACATTACATCTTCAGGTGTAATGATCATAAGTCCAAAGACATTATCTTTTGCTAATTCTTCGGGAATCCTTTCATTTTATTCTCTAATTCTCTTTCTCTTCAGGAGAATTTTAGATTCCTTTAGCATCCCCCTTTTTTAAAATAGAACCTTATGTTCATTTACTTTACTCCGAAAAATTTTGTTCTTCAGGAACATTAATATTTGTGGAGTACTTCCAAGTTACATGATATTTTGTAGGGAGGATTAAATAGCACTTTCTTTATAAATGCTTACTTCTAAGCTTTTCTATATGTATGATTCTGCTGGGATATTTTGAGATGATATATTCAATTGCGATACCTGCAAAACAAAATGAACATAATTTTCTCTAAAATGCATCATATCTTATGACTAAATTAAAGATCACTTTCTTTAATCCATCTAGTGGTTAACCTTAACTAAAACTATTAAACCCCATGCAACATATACTCATCAAGTAGAGTTCCCGGGAACATAATTATGATATCATTAATCCTTCAAGGAGTATTTCTTTCGCAATTCAGGTCGCTCATTTTCTGCCAGACTTGATATTACTTTTAACATTTGGACTACTAGTCCAAAAATTTCTCATTTTTCATATGAACTTAGCATAGACTTGATTGCCTTTTCACTCTTTGGCCAATATTTTCACTTTCTACACTCATCCACGGAGGTAGATTTATGATCCTCATTCATATCAAATCATGTGCTATCTTATTTTATGTCAACAATTATTTTGTCTTTGGTTCCCTTTTTTCGTAATAACATGGTTAATCGAGATCTCTTTATCAATGATATCATTCATGTACATGATTTTATAATTAACCATATCAACAGATCTCTTCTGGAGAGTCATCCTCTTTTCAACATATATTTGCTCATTTTATTTTTGAGGATTTTATATTTGGAACCAAAGTAGTCTATCACGTCTTTTACGTGTCATAGACTTTTTATTGATAAATCGTCCTTCAGGGACATATTTTTGGAGCATTTTGAGCTAGAATTGAGATTTTTTTCATGGTATGTCTGGCATTTACATATGAATTATCCTTTGAACTTCAGGTTCAAAATCATTTATACGAGGATCCATAATGATAATTCATTTTATGAAATCTCATTCATTAGCTCTTCCATACCAAAACATGGAGAAATTCACCATTGTTGATCTTGCAATCTTCTGGATCGCTTTATAAATTATCCATAAAACTCGTTTCAAATGTGAACATAATCTTCAGGATGTTCCACTACTTTGATATAGGATTCTTTAATTCTCC